CCAAGACGGCTCCAGATGGCCCCAAGACGGCCCAAGACGGCCCTAAGACGGCCCGAGATGGCCCCAAGAGGGCCCGAAAAGAACCCAAGACGGCCCAAGAGGGCTCCAAGAGCGCCCACAAGAGCGCCTCCAGAGGCCAAAAACATCGATGTTCCTTACGTTTTTGAAAGATTTCAGCTTTCTCGCCTTTTTTCGCCTCTCCGAAGCCCATGACGGCCCAAGCAGCCTCCAAGATGGCCCCAAGAAGGCCCAAGAAACACCCAAGGGGGCCCCAAGACGGCCCCAGAGGGCCACAAGACGGCCCAAAGAGGCCCCCAAGACGGCCCAAGAAATGAGACGGTCCAAGAGGACCCCAAGAGGGCCCCAAGGCGACCGCGAGAGGCCCCCAAGAAGTCCTCCGAAGGGGCCAAAGGCGCGAAAGCGCCCCAAGACGGCCCAAGACGCCCCCAAGAGGCCCCAAGAGGCCACCAAGAGGCCCCCAAATGGCCCCAAAAAGCCCCCCAGAGACCTCCGAAAAGTCCCCAAGAAGCCTCCAAAAGGCCCCAAAGAAGCCCCCCAAAGGCCACATAGCGACTGGAGTGTAATATTATTTCCCCCCCTGGACGAACTGCGGCGCAGCGCCAGCCAGGTGGACGTTGGTCACGGCGGCGCCCATGATTAGAGCCAGCGCTGGAAGGGAAGATGGGGAGGGAGTCAAAAAAGGGGGGGAAGAGGCCAGAAGAAGTCCCCAAGAGGCCCAAAGAAGCTCCCAAGAGGCCTCCAGGAGGCCCCCAAGAGGCTCCCAAAAGGCCCCGCGACGTGACTGCACGTGCTCCGGACGTGCACCCCGCGAAGCGAGAGGAATCCACGTCCGGAAGTGACGTGTTGCCGGAGGCAGGTCCGCGGATGCTGTAATGCAATGGATCCAATGTGTCCAATGCTTGCATAATTCCTACATATTGTATCATGTTACATTATTATGTGTCCCCCCCAACCCCCCTGGAGTCGCGCCACTTCCATCGACCCTCAGGAGAAGGGCCCCTTCTGGGCCTCAAAATCTAGAAAAACCTATGGAAAACCGATGATTTGGGCACCTTGAGCCTTTTGGGGATCCGAGCGGGCGTGAAGACGGTTCAAGATGGTGTCGAAACCAGACAAGACGGCCCCAAGACGGCCCAAGATGGCCCCAATAGGGCCCACAAAGCCCCCAAGATTGCCCAAGAGGGCCCTCAGAGCGCCCACCAGAACGCCGCCAGAAGCCAAAAACATCGATTCTCCTTAAGTTTTTTCAAAGAATGTCGCGTTCTCGCCTTCCCCGGCTCTCAGAGGCCCATGACGGCCCTAGCAGCCTCCAAAATGGCCCCAAGACAGCCCAAGCAGCACCCAAGGGGGCCCCAAGACGGCCCAAAGAGGCCCCCAAGACGATCCAAGAGGCCTCCAAGACGGCCCAAGAGCACCCCAAGATGGCCCAAGACGACCCCAAGAGGGCCCCAAGGCGGCCGCGAGCGGCCCCCAAGAAGTCCCCCGTAGGGGCCAAACGGCTCCAAGCGTCCGCAGACGGCCCAAGACGCCCCCAAGAGGCCCCCCGAAAGACCCGGGAAGCCCCGAAGAAGCCTCCATGACCCCCCCAGAAGATTCCGAAATAGCGCCCCAAAGCGGCCCAAGACGCCCCGAAAAAAAAAAAAAACCCAAGAGGCTTTCAGGGGTTCTCAAATGCGCCCGAGAAGCCTTCCAAAAGCCGGCAGAAGTCCCTGAAAGGGACCCAAGGAGCTCCCAACTCACCACTCCAGGACGTTTCCATATGGATGCCTCGACGATTGCAGGACGGCGCGGCAGACCACCGCAGAAGACGACAGGAAACGCCACCGCAGAGGACTACAGGAGACGGCATGCCATTCAAGCCAACATCTGTTTTTCAGGAGATCCACGCGGCATCAGCGACCTCGCAGTCTCTGCGCCTGAATGGGACAAACATGTTTGCCCTGTGTGCCGTCGGGCAGGCTCAGCGCTCCGCTGCCGGTGGCGACTTTGCGCAACGCGACAGGGCTCGGGCAGCGGGAATGATTCGCACGCAGCGGGGCTCTAGCGATAAGGCTCCGCGCGGCTACGCAGGCGGCTGGCTGGGCGCACCGCGGTGGGGCGCCTGGTCGCGGTGCCTGGCCCCAAGACAACCCCAGGGAGCCCCAAGTCAGCCCAAAGAGGCCCCCAAGACGGTCCAAGAGGCCCCCAAGACGGCCCATGAGGATTCCAAGAGGGCCCGAAGGCGGCCGCGAGAGGCTCCCAAGAAGTCCCCCGAAGGGGCCAAACGGCGCCAAAGCGCCCCGAGACGGCCCAAGACGGCCCAAGACGCCCCCAAGAGGCCGCCAAGAGGCCCCCAGGAGACCCCCAAAACGCCACAGGAAGCCTCCAAGAAGCTTCCAAGAACCCCCCAGGAGGCTTCCAAAAAGCCCCACAACGGCTGGACTGTACGTGCTCCGGACGTGCACCCCGCGAAGCGAGAGGAATCCATATGGGCACGGATATCCTGGAACTATCTTATCACCCACACAGCAAGTTTGGCCTCCGTCACGCAGCCTTTTGTTGTGGCAGCAGTAAGTGTTTTGAGGACACTCCATCTGACACTCCTGAGACTCCGAGGAACGGAGATGCACGTCGCCAGGATGTTTATGCTGGCGATGCATTGTAGAGTTGAGGTTCTGGACATCGATCGGTATATCCTCCACTCTCGCCTCCTCATATTGTGTGTGGTCTGGCGTCTCGTCCTTCCGAATGTTCGCGATCTGCGGTTCGCTGGGGCCCGACGCCCGTGACTGGAGTAGCCCCACGCCGTCGGCCTCGTTCGTGCCGTCGCAGTTGTGCGAATCGTCCTCCATCAGGCAGCGTTCCTCCGAGGTCTTGGCTAAGTCATCGGCGGCAACGCAGCCGCGGCCAACGAGCAGGATGGCGAACGCTCCCGCAAGCACCACGACGTTCATTGCGGCAACGGCGGAGTAACAGGGGCTTGGCAGCAATAGGCGCAAACCAAATGTTCCCTATGCCTGAAGAGTTGCCACAATGTCTTGAGCCAAAATGGTTACAGAGCGCCTTAGGGCCATCTTGGGCGTCTTGGGGCGATGGTTCGGTGACTCTCTGGGCTGCATTGGACCGTCTTGGAGCCTTCTTGGAGCCCTTTTCAGCACGTTTCGGGACAGCCTTGGGCCGTCTGTGAGCGCTCCAGGAGGCCGTGACACGCCATGCCCCCCGTGGTCCCTTGGCCCGTCCAGGCGGCCTCGTCCCCCGGGATGTGTATATATATATATATATATATACATACATACATACATAATCCGGGATGACGATTAATAAAAACATGGGGGGAAACGATTAGAAACATAGTTTTCTGTAATTTCTGCAGAATATATCTGACTGGAAGAGAACGATTAAAAGAAATAGTTTTCCAGCCCGCGGCCGGTTTTGTCTAATCGTCATCCCAGACCGCCGCGTGAACACGACCCCCGGTCATTTATTAATCGTCATCCTCCATTACTAGAACCATCGCGCGCGCTTCACGCGCGCTCAGGTTCTAGCCCAGGCCGGGGGGGCGCTGGACGATCTTGGACAACGCTATCAAGCGCAGGCGCGCGACGGCATCTGAGGAGCTTCTGGGGTGTTCCGCATGCTTCGTCAACTGGCTGTTGGAGGCACCTCTTGGGTGCTTCTTGGGGGGGCCTCTGAGGGTCCCTTGGGGGCATCGGTTCTGCAATCTGAAGCCGTCATTGGCCGTCTTGGCTGCGTGGAGGCCCGAGTTGAGGCCACCTGCGGCCAGATTGAGGCAATCCGGAAGCCTCCCGGGGGCCTCCTGGAAGCAGTTTTGACGCATCGAGGGCACTCTTGGGCTATTTTAAAGCCTCTTGGACGTCTCCTAGGGGCCTTTTAGGCCCTCGGGGAGCTTTTGGGGTCCTCGTCGGACCACTTGGGGGCCTCTTGCGGCCTCGTATGGGCCTTTTGGGGGGAATGCTCTGCTGTTGGGTCGCGTTCCCCTTCTTGGGCCTCTCTTGGGGCTCTTGGGGTCCTCTCGGGCCGTCTTGGGCGCCTCAAGCACCGTCTTGGGGCCCTCTTGGGGCCCTCGTCGGCCATCTTGAAACCATCTCGGGCCCTCTTAGGGCGCTCTTGGGGGTCTTCGGGGCCTCTGGAGGCTTTCTTGACCATCTGTACTGCCCGCGTGGCCTGTCGAGGGCAATTTGAAAGCGGCCCGGGGCAGTCCCGGGGGGTCTGTGACCCCCCAAAGGTTCCAGGGGGCGCCCATGGGGGGGGATGATGACACCGGCCCGGCCCCTCCCCCCGCCTACTCGCGGCGGCCTCTGAGGCCCGGGACGCCGAAACCCTTTAAAAACACATGGAAAATGAGCTCCAGTACCCCCATGGAGGGTCGAGGCAGCTGTTTTCGGGCCCTGGGCCTGCTCCCCCGGGATATATGTATATATATACATACAATCTATAAGTGTATACAATGCGTGTACAAGGCCCTCATCAATCCCGTCAGCTTCCCCCTGTGTGCTCATCCTCGTTCTCCTCCTCCTCCTCGACAGTCCTGCTCGTTCTTCCTCCTCCGTGAATCCTGATCTTTGCTCCTGGTCCTTCTCTTTACGAGTATGACAGAGCGTTACCATATCAACAGCAACGCAGGATGAAGAAACGAGAAATGCAATCAGAGAAACTCGATGCTGGGAGCGAGGAGGGACTAGTCAGTAACTGGGCTGAAACAAATATCATGAAACGTGCAAGCGCGAAGTAGGTTTGGCATTGTAGCCTGTCGAACAAGGGGGCCACGTCGATCAAACATGGATCTGAATAGAAAGTACAATCCATTACATGAGGAAGGTGAGAAAGGCACGTACAGTAAAGGGGGAATCGAAGCAAATATTTAGGACGAGCATGAGGAGGAGGGGAACGTTTCAGCGGAGCGGCAGGTAAATAATCGTGCGGGGGGGATGTACACCTGTGCGTGTGTGCGTGCACGCAGCTTGCTGTTCCCTCGAGCTCCAGCTTCTTGACGAGCTTCTTGTTCTTGTTGAGCTTCTTCAGGTCATCGACGCTCTTGAACGGGATGCCCGCCCGCTGCGCCTGCTCGCAGTGCACCGCGTCGCCGAGCACGCAGATCTTCATGCGCGGGCGGGGGACGTGCTGGAGCTTGATGGTGCCGGCGAAGCGCTTGTCCCTGGTCGTGTCGTAGTCCTTGAGGCCGATCTGCAGCTCCACCTCAGGAGGCAACTACTGCGAGGTTTTCGTCGGAAAGGTTAAGGAGGATTAAGCCCCACTGGGGGGCTACTACGCAGGATTGGGCCGCGGATTGACCAGGATGAAGCTGGATAAAGCAGGACGAAGCCGGATTCAGCGGGATTGAGCCGGATCAAGCCGGACTTCGGACCAGAGGAAAGTCAGAACCTGACCTCCCAGGAGCGGCATCCCAGTCCACCGTCTCGAGGAACTTGCGGGGCTTCGCCTTCGCGCCGTCGAGGATCTCGCCGATGCCCTTCTTCAGGTTGTCGATGTTGAGCTTGCTCATCCCTGCCGGAGAGGGCGCTCCGTCGCGGGGCCGGGGGGCGCCGCCCTGCTTGGCTCCTGGCCTGGGCCCTCACAACGACTGCTGTGGGCCCACGCGAGGAGAGGACGCGCGGAAGGGGAGGTTCGGGTCGGCGAAAGGGGGGAAGCAAAGGGGGGGGGTGAGAATGAGCTCACGTAGCCGATTTTCCCGGCGCCTCCCGGCGCCGGAGGCGGCCATGTATCGAGGAATGGGCCACTCGGTGAGGCCGAAACCAGCTGCATGCAGCAAATTTCGTAACCCCCCCCTTTCCCAATCCCCCCCTTTCGCCCGGCCCGAGAGGTGGAGGCAGAACCTGAGGTCGAGCAAGGACCGGACCGTCCTGGCAGTCCTACAGGCCTCCCACGACATGCTCTTCAGAACCCAGAAAGGTCCGAAGCACAACACCGGTGCTCTTAGAGCAGAAGCCCCATGTGTTAGGACAAGGGAAGTCCCAGCCAGACATGTTCTGAGAACATTTCGCGCAGACCACAAAAAAGGTTCTTGGAACATTGCTTGGTAGGCCTATAGGCACGCCAGGACGCTTCGCCACTGCTTGATGAGGGGGAACGTCAGGGGGGTACCGGCCCAGACGGGAACCTCGGGACAGCATTGGCGATACATCGGCAGGCGATCGGCGACGGGCCCCCGGGAGCGAGCCCGCACGCTGCAGAGCGGGGTGGGCTGTCGGACCACGATCGGCGATGAGAGGGCGGTTGGGGGTGGATGCGTCCCCCCCCTGACATGACCCCCAACGTTGCCCCCTGGTTTTTGTCGGGGGCGGTCAAGGGGGGGGTGTCCAAGAGGGGGGGTGCAAATCATGACCGGCGGCACGTGCGCGGCCCAGCGGGGGGGCCAGGGACGTAATGAAAATAAGAAGCGGCGCCGTGAAATCTGGGGAAAAATCATGGCCCGCGCCATGAAATCCCCCCCCCCCTAGTCATCACCCCCCTCTTCTCCGCTCCCGCTTTTGGGTCGCAACTCGGATCTCCACCACCGTTCGCGACGGTGCGGGCACCCCCGGGAACACCCTCGGCGATGCGCAGCCGCCGGAGGGCATCCCGAGGCTGGAAAAAACCGCCGAGGCCCTCGGTCCCTGAGCTGGGTGCGTCCCCCTCTGAGCCTGGTCCCCACGAGCTTCCCCATATTTTCCATACTTTTTGGATTTTCCTCCTCTTCCCCCCCCCACTTCCCATATTTTCCCATGCTGTTTTGGGGATCGACGATGAATTGTGTCTGTGTGTTTTTTCCCCTCCTGAAAAAAAGAAGAGAAGCAAAACAAAAAAAAAAAACTCAACGTTCAGAGGTCGAGGCCGCTCGCGAAAGCACTCTGGGGAGCCCGAGTCCAGCGGCGACCCCCCCCAAGCGCTTCGGCAACGCCGTGCCCACGGCGACAGCACAGCCGACAACCGACCGAAGCCACGGCGAACCCAGAACCGGCCGAAGCCGACAGGCGGGCCGCAGGCAGCCCCAACAAAAAGCGCAGCGACGCAGCGGAGGCACGACGGCCAACCGGACAAAGCCGACCGAACGCGGCCAACTGCGAGGCGACCGAACCGGCCAAGCCGCGGACACCACTGGGGGGCCACATGCGAACCCTGCCCCCGCGCCCCACGAACAGAGTGAACCCCACCCTCCCCCTCGGAAGTCGTGGGGGGTAGGGGTGGGGTTCGCATGTGGCCCCCTACCTGGCATCGCTCGGGCGTCCATTTCCCGTGCATGGTTCGGTTTCGTGCGCGTTTTTTTGTTGCTCGATGGTCCAGGATGGTCCTCGATGGTTCTCGCCGAGAAAAAATGCACACGTCCGAGCGACGCCAGGCCTAAACACTGCTCGCGCAAGATCCTCTGGGCTCGCCCGGGCGCGCGGATCGACTGGGTCACCGGGGGGCGACGACGACGGCGGCGACGGTGGCGGCGGGGGGGGCCCCGACAGGCCCCAGCGCTCCGATGGATGGGGTATGGGGCCTTCTGGGCTGCAGAGGCGGGGCAGTGTCGAGGGGGCGGGGGAGTGGGGGGGGAGGAGGAGCGAGAGGAAGGATGGGGAGAAGAGGGAGGGGGGGGGTGGAGCGGGATGGAGAAATGAGAAGGAGAGGACGAGAGGGAGGAGAAGGAGAGGGAGGGGAAGGAGAGGGAAGGGGGGAGGGAGGCGATGGCGAGGGATGCAGACAGGAAAGGGAGGGAGGAGAAAGGGGGGACCAGCAGAGGGGGAAAGGCAGGCTGGGTGTGCTCGCGCCCCATCTGACATCCTGTCCCTCCCTCCCTCCCATGAGGAACAGAATGAGGACGAACCAAAGCACAGGGGACTGCAGCGGAAGGATCGGGAAGGAGAGGCGGACCAGGGGGAAGGCGGAGGAGGGAAACTGAGAGGGGGGGCGGCAGGGGCGGAGAGAGAGACTCGGATTCGGACAAAAAGGGCCGCGCGGGGGCGAGGCGAACCGCCGCAGCGGGAACTGGAGCGGAAGGGGCGGGAGGAGCAGGAAGACCAGGGGGAGGCGGAGGAGGGGAAACGACGGGGGGGCCACGAGGAGGCAAGACTCGGGCCAGGAGACGTGGCCCGCGCCGGGCCGAGAGCGCCATTCCGAAAGACGGGAACAACGCGCCGATCCGAAAATGAGGCCCAGGCTGCAGCGGGAGTGCCGTTTTGAAACACCGGGAACACTTGGATTGCAAACAACGATTAGGAACAAAAACAACCATGATTGAACTCCCGTGTAAACACAGCACGCGGAGTGGGCGGGAGATCTTCTGGACAACATCAGGGAAGGAGGGAGAGTATAAGTATGTATATATATATACATATATATATATATGTATATATATGTATATATATGTATATATGTTGTTGAATTGTAAAGGGAGGAGAAAAAATGAGAAGAAGAAGGAGAGGGGCGAGGAGGAGGGCCGCACACCACCTGCCAAGGCTGCTGCGTGGCAGTCGGACCCTCCGCCTTCTCGCTCTCTCCTCTTCGCTCCCCCCTCGCTGCTCGTCATCGTTGCTCCTCCGGCTCCTCCAGTCCTTCTCCTTATAGATAACTCCTCCCTATCGCACTCCGAAGCCAATTTTCAGCGCGGGCCGGGCGTTTCGCCTGAGACTTCCTCACCATGCATGACCCTGAAGCTTAAAAGTGACAACAGCTTCACAGATGGAAGGCGGGTCGTTCTCAAAATGTGGCTCTCGCCTTCGCGCCGCGCACATTCGCTTTGAACATGTTCAAGAGCTTCACGGATTGAGGGCGGGTGGCTTTCAAAATGTGGCTGTCGCCTTAGCGCCGCGCACATTTAAAACACCACTTGCAACAGCGTCACGGATTGAGGGCGGTTCCTTTTCTAAATGTGGCTCTCGCCTTAGCGCCGCGCACATTCGTTTCTGAAACTTTGCAAGAGTGTCGCGGATTCCCATGCTCCACGTGCCAGAAATGGTGTTTGGGAAAGATTTACGACTGCGGGTGCAACAGTTATTCTGATTCTCGGTGTTGAAGTCCCCAAAACGGCGCTCTGGCACGATTCCAGATCGTCAAGACGCAGCAGCCATATTGATACGTGGCGTTGAAATCCCGAGAACAATGTTTTGGCATGTTTCAAGATCTCCAGACGGTTGTTCTCCAGCGAGGCAGCCCCCTCAATGGATATAAACCGTTGTGGATCCCATGAAGAGGGAGTTTGGAGGGATCGTTGATGACTCTTGGTTTTACACTGGACCTCCTCCTCCTCCTCCTCCTCCTCCTCCTCCTCCTCCCTTTGCACCTCCACATGGACCCAACTAAGGAGTTACGCACAATGTCCGCTACAACCCTTGCTCATGACGCTTCACCGCGCGCCGGTCTCCTCGCTGCTGGTCCTCCTGGCACGTACCCAGAGAGCGGACGCAGGGTCTAAGCCTCCTCCACACGGCGCTGTGCGGCACGGGCCTGCGGGAGCGCAGCCATCGCCTCGAACTGGCTGATGCCGCCCAGGTCGGCGGCGGCATCCAAAGTGTTAAAGAGCACAGTGGCGGCAGCAAGAGAGGCGAGGCGAGAGAGGTCCTCGCTGCTGGTCCTCCTCCTCCTCCTCCTCCTCCTCCCGCCTCCTCAATCCTCCCTCCTCGCTCCTGGCGCCTCTCCTCCCTTTCCCGCCTCTGGCTCACCACCCGCCCCGCCGACATCCTGACGCGGAGGCCTCCCAGATGGGGTTTCAGTATATGCAGGGGCCCACAACACACACACACAAATAACTACACACAAATAATACAATTCCCCATATATTTCCCTATATGCAGGGCCCACAACACACAAATAACCACACACAAATAATACAATTCCCCATATTTTCCCCATATCTTCTGGGTGCTTGTCTTCCCCCCCACTTCCCACATCTTCCCATATCTTCGGGGGAATCGACGACTCATTGTGTCTGTGTGTTTTTTTCCCCTCCTGGGTATAGATGGGGCCGGAGGATCGCCCCGCATCGGCGACGGCGGCGATGCATCGGCGACGTCAGCGCTGGGCAGATAAAACAGGGCTAGGATCGGGATAAATCGCTCCGGAGCGTTCCGGAGCGCTCCCAGAGCGTTCCGGAACGCTCTGGAGCGGCCGCGGCGCCCGATACATCCTCCAAACCCGCCGATTCTCAGAGATTTCGAGTTATCCCGGTCCGATTTTGTCCCGATCTTCGCGTCGTTTGAGAAGAGCATGATGAGCCTGTTTTCCACCACCACCACCATATGTTAGAGGGGGGAAGGAGGTGGAGGAGGAGGAGGAGGAGGCGGCGGAGGAGGAGGAGGAGAAGGAGGACCCCCTTTCCACCTCCTTACCCAGACCCCCGACGTAATGATTTTTTTCATCACGTCGACCCCAAAGATAGAAAAAATAAAAAAAAAAAAAAAAATACAAAAAAAAAATAAAACAACATGAAAAACAAAAAAAAAGACTAAAAAAAAAAAATTAAAAAACTAGTAAAAAAAAACAAAGGTGGAACAAAAAATAAAAAAAGAAAAAAAAAAAAAAAAAAAAAAAAGCTCCCTGGACCCCTTCCCCGGGACCCGGTTTGTCATCCTGATCCGTTTTTTGACGCGCCCGAAGCCCGGAGGGCCCCCAGAGGCCGAAAAGGGCGAAAAACCTCCCGTCGTGATGTTTTTCATGACTCGAGGGGTCTGTGTACTTATGGTGGTGTGGTGGAAAAACAAGCACGCCAGAGCAGGCAAATAATACATCAACTAATCACATAAAATCAACAAAGGAAGGCCCAGCGCCCGAGCCAGCGCCGGCGCCTCGGACGCTGCAGCAGCAGCTGCAGGCACGGGCGAGGGCGCGCCTGGCACCTCGAACAGCTCCGCCGACGAAGCCATCGATGTGGGCGATCGGCGAGCCGTTTTATATGTCGTTTCAATCGAGGGAAGGAGGTGGGGAGCAGCAGCAGGAGGCTCCGCAGGACAGGTGGAGAAAATAGAGCGCTGGGCAATGGGGATGATACGAACGGCAGAGCGGGCAACTGGGACCGGAGGAGGAGGAGGAGGAGGAGGAGGAGGCGGAGGAGGAGGAGGAGGCGGAGAAGGAGGACCCCCTTCCACCTCCTTACTTATGGTGGTGGCGGTGGAAAACAAGCACGCCAGAGCAGGGCCCGCGTCGAGCCGCAGCGCCGGCGCCTCCAGCGGCGCGGCGCGCGCTCCTCCGGAGGCCGCGGAGGGCGGGGGGGCGCGGCGGGCACGCCGCCTCGGAGAGCCCCGCGATGCGGCCCTCGAAGCCCTCGAGCTGCCTGGCGTGCCGGCAGGAGGATCGGGGAGGCGTAAGACTCGGGCACGGGGGGCCCAGACCCCCTCGAGCAATGAAAAAATCACGGCGGGAGGTTTTTCGCCATTTTCGGCCTCTGGGGGCCCTCACCGGGCCTCGGGCGCGTCAAAAAACGACTCAGGATGACAAACCGGTCCTGGGGAAGGGGTCGGGACCTCTGGGGGTCGACGTGATGAAAAAATCATTACGTCGGGGGTCTGGGGACTCGGGTTGGCCCGACGGGGCCAGCAGAAACATGACGAAGCCCGATGCGAAATCTGACGCGAACCCCCGCTGCAGACGTCCCACGAAAACTGGACCGTCAGAATCCAGGACGCGCTCGTCAAAAAAACGCTGGCGAACCCGAGTTCCGGCTTGCTCGGGTCTTGCGTCCCCCCGAGGAGGGCGGGGGGGCGGGGGGCGAGGGCGGGAGCACGAGCGAGGGGGGGAGGAAGAGAGGGGAAGTTTCGGAGGCAACTCCTGGGAAATCTTCGTCCGAGGATCGGGGAGACGTAAGACTCGGGTACGGGGGACTCGGGTTGGCCCGACGGGGCCAGCAGAAACATGACGAAGCCCAATACGAAATTTGACGCGAACCCCCGCTGCAGACCTCCCACGAGAACTGGACCGTCAGAATCCAGGACGCGCTCGTCAAAAAAACGTCGGGGATCTTCTGACCCGGGTCAATCCAGACCCGGGTCAATCAGGCCTGCAAAATCCTGCAAGATCCTGCACCCAAACCCGGGTCAATGCGAAGGATCCTGCAGGATCCTGCAGGATCCTGCACCCAAACCCGGGTCAATGCGACCCTGGCGCTGCAGGATCCTGCAAGATCCGGCGCTCTGGCTGACCCCCGTCTGCACTGACCCCCGTCTCGAGGCTCCCGAAAACGTTGGCAAACCCGAGTTCCGGCTTACTCGGGTCTTGCGTTCCCCCGAGAGGAGGGCGGGGGGGCGGGGGGCGAGGGCGGGAGCACGAGCGAGGGGGGAAGGAAGAGAGGGGAAGTCTCGGAGGCAACTCCTGGGAGGTCTTCGTCCGAGGGATTGCGGAGGATTAATTCAGCCTCGTTGGGAGGCTGTCACGCCGGGGTGGGCCACGGATTCAGCGGGATGAAGCCGGATGAAGCGGGATTAAAAAAATAAAAAAAAAAATAAAAAAAAAAAAAAAAAACAAAAAAAAAAAATATAAAAAAAAAAACAAAAAACAAAAAAAAAAAATAAAAAAAAAAAAAAAAAAAAAAATAAAAATAAAAATAAAAAAAAAAAAAAATAAAAAAAAAAAAAAAACAAAAAATAACAAAAAAAAAAAATAAATAAAACAAAAAAAACAAAAAAAAAAAAGAAAATAAAAAAAAAAAAAAAAAAAAAAAAAAAAAAAAAGCGGGACTGAGCGGGATTGAGCGGGATCAAGCCGGATTGAGCCAGATCTCGGACCAGGGCTAAATCAGAATCTGACCTCCCAGGAGTTGCACCCGAAGGAAATGGTGGGTGGGCGCGGACCGTGCACGCCCACACCGATCCTGGCCAGGCCAGTCCTGGGTACGGGGTCGGTGCAATTATATGCCCTCCTGTTGAGCAGGGACCGACCGTCCCGGCATTCCTATAGTCCTACCACGAAATGTTCTTAGAACCCAAAAATGTTCCAATAATAAAAACAGTGATCTTAGAACATGAACCCGCTGTGTTAAGACAAGACAGGCCCGGCCAGAGATGTTCTGAGAACATTTCGTGCAGACCTCAACAGGTTCTTAGAATATTGTTTGGTGGGGCTATATATCCCTATCCGTATGCTGGGCACCTCCTCATCACGATGCCAATCTTAGGGATTCCCTTATTTTTTGAGGGCGAATCCCTAAGATTGTCATCGCCTTTTGGCGTGTCAATCTTAGGGATAGGGATACGTTCGAGGCTGTTACGGCAGGTTCGTGTCGTGCCGACCCCAGCGTTGGTTTTTGACACCGCAGGGATCGTTCAACCTTGAACGATCAGCCGCTGCCGCAACGTCCGATCGTTCAACATCGATCGATTCTGGGTCGCCGGCGGCGTTCAACCTTGAACGCCCGCGCTGGAGTCGCCGCTGGTCGACACGACGCAAACCTACCGTAACTATAGGCGAGCCAGGACGCTTCGCCACTGCTTGATCCTGGCCAAAGCTGGGCGGGCGTGTGCACCAGCCCCGGGCTCCCGCCGGGCCAGCGGCAGGTGTGCACGGGGGCGTCGCCCTCCGAAGGCACGGGCGCGGCGAGGCGGCGGCCAGGGAGCGCAACGGAGGGACGCAGAGGGGCCACGGAGTCCGGGGGGGTATCCACGGCCCCAGTCCTGAGGTATCCCCCTCCCCCCCGATCAGCCCCCCTAGTCAGCACCCCCGCCTGGCCCCGCTTGGCCTAGAAGGAGGAGGAGGAGGAGGAGGAGGAGGAGGAGGAGGAGGAGGAGGAGGAGGGGAAGGAGGAGGAGAGACGAGCAAGGGAAGGATCATGGAGAAGAGGATGGGGAGGAAGAGAAGAAGTGGGATGGAGGGGAGGGGAGGGATGGGGCGGCAGGAGCTGGAGCAGGAGAAGGACATGCACCCGGCTACGTCATTTGCGAGGTTTGCGTGGGAGGAGGTTGGTAGTTGTGAACGAAGTGGCCCCAACTCAGAAGTCATGTGGCTTCACCACGAACGCCGTGTGCCTTTAAGTATGTGCCGATACATGTGTTGCATACCGCGCGTAGCGTAGTCCATAATGCAGCCAGTGTCTGGTTCAGGCGTCAAGTGAGGAACATACCCACTGACACTCGAACGACAACTTCTTCACGCATCGCGCGTCCTGACGAGCCCATCAATCCGCCATCGTGCCCCCTGAAATGCTGAGGCTTGGAAAAAATGCCAAGGTCTGTCCGGTAGATATGTTTCTTTTGTTCTTAAAAATAATAATAATAATATTAATAATAATACTAAAAAATAATAGATATATATATATATATATATATATATATATATATATAATATATATAACGCACCTCCCTCTAATTACCCGCGTACTCGTGCGCGCATCCCCTAAGCTCACCGATTGCACCTCCATCGTGGCAGCTCTGGGATGGCGCACCCCCCGCGTGACAGCAGGGGGCCTCAATGACCCCCTTCCAAGCGTGCCCGCACCTTCCGCATGCCAGCTGATGCCCGAACCCTCCTTCCACGTGTTCCAGCTCGAGGGCGGTGCACCTCCCGCAGGGCAGCGCATGCCCGAACCTCCTTTGATGCGCGCCCGCTCGAGGATGGTGCAAATGCCGCATGGCTGCTGACTCCTGGGCCTCCCGAGCAACGACTCCTCGTTGCGAGAGAACGAGTTTCGTGGACGCGAACCTTGAACACATATCGAGGGGCCCAAGGACACACACATAAATACACACAAATAAAAGTATCCCCCATATTTTCCCATAGTTTCTGGGTTTCTGTCTTCCTGCCCACTTCCCATATTTCCCCATCTTTTCTGGGTAACCGAGGATTAATTGTGTCTGTGTGTTCCTTTTCCTCCTGGAAATACTTGGACACGTCGGAAACAGGGTACCCCCAAAACAGAAACGGCACGTGCAGCGCGTGGGGAGAACCGGGGGCGGCAGGGCGGGCCCGGGGCATCGGCCGCTCTCACCTGCCCCCCCTCCCCTCCCCCTTACCGAATCCTATACGTGTTCCATCCGGCTCTAATTGAATCCGACTGTGCTGTGGATGGATTCATCTCTAACAGCATCGTAGTCCTCGACCGGAGTCATTACATAGCTGGCTTCAACTCTAATTGAGTCCTGCTAAGGGTCGATCAAACTCTAACATAATCTTATGTTAGCTGGGTCCATCTTCAAATGCATCCTGGCCGGGCTGGCACCAACAATAACATAATCCTTCCTACAGATGGATCAAATTTTAATTCAACCCTAATACGGCTCGATCCGGCTATGATGCAAAACTACTAAAACTAGATCAAGCTTTAATTGAATCCTACTCGGGCTCGATCCGGCTCCAAAGAAAACTTTCAAGGGTTCAATCAAGCCTTGATCACATCCTACTCAGGCTCGGTCATCGTCGTCGTCGTCGTCGGCGTCCGACGGCGCCGACGCTGGTGCAGGCGCTCGCCGTCGTCGGTTGTAGGGCCTCCCCCCTGGTTCGACCCCCCCCATTGCAATTCAGGCTCCCCACCCTGGGTTCGAACCCCCCCTTGAATGGGGGGGGGCGATTCGAACCCCCCTCCCCTTGTTTTTCGGGGGGGGGGGCGACTAGAACCCCCCCCTTCCAAGCGTCCAAAGAACGCGCTGGTTCCTCGCCAAAACCGACGGATACGCGTCCCGAGTTTCCAAGACGGCCCGCGCAGGCAACCAAAGACACCAAGATGGCCCAAGATGCCTCGAAGACGGCACGAGATGGCCCCAAGGCGGCCGAAGACTGATTCAAGACGGCCCAAGACGCCTCCAAGAAGGCCCAGGATGGCCACGAGAGGACCTGCGACGGGGCTCTAAGGTGCCAGAATCGGGGGCTTCTGGGTGGCGTTGATAGGGGGCCACATGCGAGCCTTACCCCTACCCCCTACGATTTCTCAGGGGGAGGATGGGGTTCGCTTCGCTCGGGAGCTCCCGAGCGAAGTGAACCCCACCCTCCCCCTCAGAAATCGTGGGGGGTAGGGGTAATTAGGGTTCGCGTGTGGCCCCCTAGTTGACTGATGTTCGAGATCTCGCCTGCTCTTCGGGCCAAGAGGACCCAAACAAAAGGACCCCACGATGGCCCCGAGCGACGAGGACCCAGGAAGACCCAAGAGGACCCAAGAGGGCCCTCCGCCCAACGACGGCCCGAGAGGACCCCACGACGGCCCAAGGGAGACGAGGAGGGCGGCGCCGCAGCGGAGGGGACTGCGGGGGCAAGGCAGGGGCGCTCGGGGCCAGAAAAGCCCTGGGCGCCGGCGCAGCGGCCCGGCCGTGGGGGAACGAAGAGACCGATTTTTGTCTTTGGATCGGCGATGATTTTAGGTCGGGCCTGTCCCCCTACAGGGAGATTTCGGGCAAAAAATCACAATTTTCAGAAACAACTCAAAAGATGCCCCAACATACTCAAAAAAAAGAAGTCCCCAGACTATTTTTTGACTAATTTTAAATATTCCCCCTGTAGAGGGACAGGCCCGACTTAACGATAACCCGGGTTATCCCGGGGGGGGGAGGAGGGGGCCGGCCGATAACCTAACCTTTGCGCCGTGGACAGCCCTACATGTGCCCGCGCGCCCCCCCCCTCCACCCACCCACCCTGGACCTGCACAAGCGGCAAGGTCAGGTGATCCTGGGGGGGGAGGGGGAGGGGGGGCAAGCCCGGTAACCTGGGCTATCGCCTGACCCTAAAAAAAGTCTTCAAGAGATGCCGGCTCACCGCGCCCCTCCCCAGATGCCTGCTCTGGGGGGCATTCTCTGACGAAGCCTTCCTGGCGGACCCTGGCCGCGGCGGCGGGCGGAGGGCAGCGGCATCGGCATCGGCATATCGGCACCTCTTCCTGCTCCGAGGCCGTGGGCAGGAGCAGAGGGCGCGCGAGGAATCGGCCACGCGCAGGCGCGGCGACCCTGGGCAGGCGTGACCGCTGGTGCGCGGCTTTGGGGGCCGCGGGTGGGGGGCGGGGGGGGGGCGACTCTCCCAGCGCGCAGGCCTGTGCCGCGGGGTACCCCCTTGGTCGGGGGCGACGATGGGAGCGAACAGCCCAAGGTGGAGAAAAAAAAAAAAAAAAAGAAAAGAAAAAAAGAAAAACAAAAAAAAAAAAAAAAAAAAAGAAAAAAAAAAAAAAAAAAGAAAAAAAAAAACAAGAAAAAAAAAAAAAAAAAAAGAAAAAAAAAAAATACAAAAATAAAAGAAAGAAAAAAAAGAAAAAAAATAAAAGAAAAAATAAAAAAAAAATAAAAAGAAAAAAAAAAAAAAAAAAAAAAAAAAAAAAAAAAAAAAAAAAAGAAAAAGAGCAATTCTGCCCAGGGGCGCCGGTGGCCCATGCCTTCGGCGAGGCTCCTGGGCGAATGCGTGAACGCGTGCAGTGCCCACCCCTTGCCAGTCGCCCCTGTCGTCGCCTCCGACGTGGGTCCTCGCCGGGGGTCGCCCCGGCGCAGACCAGCTCGCACGCGGACCCAAACATCGGGAGTTACCAAAGGTGCCCCCTGGCCTAGGGTACCCCCAGCTTGTCGCTCCATGTTGCAGCCCCTGAAGTCCCCTTGGCCTCTTTGGAAGGCGTGTGGCCTCCTGGAAAACCCTCGGGGCACCTCGGGCCAGGGGCACTTCTGGCAACCGCCGAGGCTCTCACGCGGCGGAGCCCAAACGAAAAGGCAGCCGAGCCGGCGCGCGCGCGCGCTCGGAGCAGGCGCGGGCCCCGGCCTCAGCCGCTCCATGCCCTGCCGCTCCACCGCGGCCAGCAGCTCCCGGAGCTCTGCGGCCTCCGCCGCCCCCGCCCGCGCCGCGGCCTGCGGCGGCGGGCGGGGGGGGGGGTCGCGGCGCCCTCCGATCCTCGGCCACGCCTACCGTGCTCGTCCCAGTCCTGCGAGCGATGTTCTCTCCCTCCTCCGCCCTCCTCCGCCTCCGTCCTCCTCCTCCTCCTCCTCCCTCCCCTCCCCTCCTCCCTCCCCTCCTCCTCCTCCTCCTTTCCACCTCCTCCTCCTCCTCCTCACTCCTCCTCCTCCGCCGCCTCCTCCTCCTCCTCCTCCTCCTCCTCCTCCTCCTCCGCCTCCTCCTCCTCCTCCTCCTCCTCCTCCTCCTCCCTCCTCCTCCTCCTCCTCCTCACTCCTCCGCCTCCCCTCCTCCTCCCGACTCCTCCTCCTCCTCACTCTCCTCCTCCTCCTCCTCTCTCCTCCTCCTCCCTCCTCCTCCTCCATCCTCCTCCTCCTCCTCCCTCCTCCTCCTCCTCGCTCCTCCTCCTCCTCTTCCTCCTCCTCCTCCCGCCTCCTCCTCCTCCTCCTCCTCCGTCTCCTCCTCCTCCTTTGTATCCTCTGTCTCCTGAGGCCCCAAATCCTCTTTTTCCTCCCCTCCCCGGCCGCTTCCGCCACGCAGCCCTTCCTTCGCCTCCGCCCGGAGCCCGGAACTGTGGACCTTTGATCTACCTCCCACGGGCTGAGGCCCTCAACCGCATTCCCTCCGACTAGACACCGGGGCAACGAGAATATGGTTCGCTCGCACCCTTCGGATACACTGCGGGGGGTCCTGCGACAACGGTTGCAACGACGGAGAGGCGGGAGAGGGGGAGAGGGGAAGGATACTCACTGGCGGGGACGAAGCGGGGGACCAGCTCAGGGGCCCTGACCATGGGAAACGTAAAGCTTGAACCAGCGATACCTCGCCGATAGATCAGCGGTAGGCCCCCGATAGTAAATCCGTGCGGTCCTGGAGGGAGCAGGCTGCCCCCACCGGCGATCCGCGGGCGGCTGGGGGCCGATGCGGGCCCCGCCCTGGGCCCTGCCCCCGAACTGATCGCCTCCCCCCCCCGCACCCCCCCTCACTTCCAAACGCCCGAGAGCCGGGGTTTGCTCGAGGGCCCCCCCCAGCTCTGCGCTCCATCTGGGAGCGCCTAGGGCCGCCTGGACCTCCTTTTTTGTTTGCCCCGTTGCCATCTTGACTCAAGCTCGAAACGTTGCCGCGAGGCTTCGAGCTTTCCCGCTGCCGTGCGGCAGGCTCGAGGTTCTTTCAGGAGGGCGGACTTTGACCTCTCCGGCCTGGGGTTCGCGACCCCACGCATCTCCTCGGTCGGCATCAGAGCGCCTGCCAGCTTTCATCACGATTCCTTCGCAAGTCCAGCAGCAGCCGCCATGTCCAACCCCAGGCGTGGCAGTGGGAAGTCGTCCGTGTGCAAGGTCGCGTTTGCGGCGGACTACGTCGGTTGCAAGTTCCAGTGGACCTTCCAGAGTCGCCAGTCATGCTATAAGTGCGGTCAGTCCCTTCGCAAATCGATCTCCCCAGCCCCGCAGCCCCGCGGCGCTTGGGCGCGCGAGGGCAGCCAGGATGGCGGGCGAGGCTGGTGGCACGGAGGGGGGGCAACCAAGGCTGACTGGCACGGCGCGGCAGCGGGGCCCGACCATCGAGCGTGGAGTCAGTCGCTGGCGATCGCCGACGTCGTCCAGTCCCTGGGGGATAAGGCCAAGTCCGAGGCCCAGCTGCAGGCGCTCCAGCTGCTCGAGAGTGCCTTCGCCCAGCCGCCATCCGCAGAGCGCCCGGCGCCGCTGGAAGCCGGCATCCAGCGGGCTGCGGCCGCAGAGCGCTCCGCTCGAAAGTCCAGAAGGCCACGAAGCAGTTGTCGGACGCGAAGGAGCTGCTCGCAGAATATCAAGCCAGAACCGAGACGGCAGCGGACGACCTCGTCGAGGCGGAGCACCGGCTCGAGCAGGAGAAGCTGGCCCTGGCAGGCATCGCCAACCAGCAGAGGGCTGAGGGCACCGCCTTCAAGGGCGGCATCATCAACTTGTCGGCGTTGCCCGACGCGGGCCACAGGAGCTTCATCATCGAGGACGGCACCCTCTTCGATCGGGAGGGCCTCGAGGTCGCAGCAGAGCAGCGTGAGCAGCTCAACAGGCTCAAGCAGACCATCGGGGCTTCAGTGCAGCACGCCGCCCGCGCGCACTTCGGCCCAGGCGCGGAGAAGCTCGAGGCCCAGGAGAGAGCTGCCCGAGGAGCTCGAGATGCCGCGCGAGACGCTCGAGAAGCGCAGGCGCGACAGCCCAGAGGCCGCCGCGCCGACGGCGGCGCCGCCAGCGGCCCAGCGCCCCGCGGGGGGCCAGCCGCAGGCGCGAGCCCCGTCGGCGGCCCAGGCTCCAGCGGCGCCCGCGGGGCAGCCAGGCATGCCGTCGCCAGGTGCCGCTTCGAGTTACGCTGCAGCTCCTCCTTTTGTTCACGACGATGCCATTGGCAAGGAGTCGTTCGCAGCGGCCCCCCAGCAGACCAGAGCGCGCAGGGCGGGCGCCGTGTCCAAGCCAACGCCGCCCTAGCCCCTGGGCGCCCGGCAGCGGGGCATCAACTGCTGCATGTACCAGTACGCAGGCATCTACATGATCGGGCTCATGGAAGCCCTTGTCACGCACGACATTTCCCCGCAGAGGTCCCCAGGTCGAGCGGCTTCGGATGGTGCTCTGCGGGCCAGAAAGGAGGACTGATGATCATCGCGGCGTACTTCTGGACTCGCGACCGATGGGATCAGAAACTTGATTATCCTGGACGCCATCGCAGCCACGATCAAGCAGCATGATCGCCCATGGATTTTTCAGGCCGGTTTCAACGAGACTCGCGAGTCGCTCCTGAGAACTGGACGGCGCGAAGATGCGCAGGGCGTGCTCCGAGCGCCCGCCACCGCCGCGTGCTCGGGAGCGGGAGGCGGCAGCATTCAGCACGCATGAGGCACGAAGCTTTGGATGCGCCCGCCTCCCCACGCTCGCCGATGCGCCTGGCTATGCAGTCTCGAATTCGCGCGAAGGGGGGCTGGGGGCTCTCGAAGCCTCGCCCCCCCCCAACGGGGCGCCAATTTGGGCCGGCGCCACGGCCAGCTCCGTGGCCAAAGCTCGACCATCAAGATCACTTCAGCACATGATCAGCTCGACGCAGCCTGGCCCTCGGGCCTCGCAGGGCGCTGCAGAAGGAGCTGCATGCTGAACTGGGTCTGCAAGAGCCTCGGCCCTGCCATGGGCGTGCCCCCCCCCCCCCCCTCGGCGGACTCGGGCCCCTCCCGCGGGCCCCCGGGCGCGCGCCAGACCCCGGGGGGCGCCCGGCTCCCGGGCCCGGCGCCGGCTCGCCGCCCGCGGGCCAGCGACGCGACATCTCTCCCACCCCGGCGGCCCGCCGGGGAGGCGCCCGGATCGGGGCGGGCGCCCGTCGCGCCACGCCGGGGAGACGCACAGTTTCGCCGAGACTTCGCACCTCCAGTCTCGCAGGGCCAGCGCTGCTCGAGCAGGCTCTGGAGATCATGGGGCCGCAGAGACGGGCGGCGGCCAGCGCGCGGCGCATCGATAGGCAGCAGGGCCCTGAAAGGCTCAGAGAATGGCGAGAACGTTGAAGCAGTTATCTGCCGCGGGCTCTTCGCTTATGCTATACGCAGGATCAGCAAGCGGTGCGCCCCCCCCCCCCGGTCACGGGCCGCGCCTCCTCCGACCTCGACCTTGCTGATCCTCGGACTTCGGCGGGCGAAGCCGCGGACAAATGGCTTAAAAATTGGGAGTCCCATGGGCGGGCTAGCGTTGACCCCGGGGGCCGCCCGCGGGGCGCGGCCGCGAATGCCCGCCCGCTGGCCCGCCTGGGCCGCTAGCAATCCGCGAACATATGTCTGAGTTTTCCCGCCAGAACTGGAATCGGGGCTGATCACTGGCACCCGCGCTGGCGGGCCAGGCTCTCGGACGAAGAAGGGGATTGTCTCGGCCAGCTGGTAATATGCATGTCCCGCGCTGCCCAGTTTCTGCAGCAAGTAAGATGTATCATTGACTTCCTTCTTTCGAAGGAATCAGCTGGCGCCCGACCGATCGGCCTGTTCCCCCCCTCGTGAGAGTTGTGGAGAGAGCTCACTCGGGTTTGTTTTGCGACTGGGGGCGCTCTGCAAAAAGGGGGTGCACCTTGGGCTCCGAGAGCGACGCATGGCACCAGATGGTGCATGACGAAGAGGCGCGTGAGGGGGAGGTGTTGGCGACGGGGGTGCTGGATCTGCCTCGGGCATTCGAGCATGTCACCATGCCGGTTTCGCGGGCAGTGGCCCCGCTGCGTGGCCCCCCGCGGAAACAGGCCAAGCTACTCATCAGCGTCTATACCTCCGCGAGGCTGGTCGCCTTCCGAGGGTTTCTTGCCGGCAGCGCGTTTCGCACTTTCTCAGCCGTCGTTGCGGGGTCATCCGGAGGCACTCGCGTGCTCAAAATGGCCGTGCTGCAGGCAACTGATGCCATCCATCGGGCCCGGGGACTCCGGCTTCAGGTGGATCTTTGCGCCGGTGACCTCAGCGCCCGGGCGCGGGGCCGCACTCGATTGTGGGGAGGCACGAGTTTACGGCACAAGCGCGGGGCCACCTAGAAACACTGACCACAAACTTGTGTTCCTCATGCAAACGCTGTCGCAGACGACTATGCGCGACTACAGCAAAATCGAAACTTTTATGACGCTTCGCGCGTCGCCCAGAAACATCGCATGCGTTGCGCGTTGCGTGTCGTTGTTGCGTTGCGGTCGAAATGGCGCGGACGCGTCGCGCTTGCGCCATGGAGCGCCGCGTGCGATCGTGCTCTGCAAAAGCTCAGGCCGTGCTAGCGGCCCCTGCGATTTACCAGAGCGCGCCGATGCGTTTCGCCGCAACAACGGTGCGAGCGACGGCGCCCAAACATGATCGTGCGACGGGCGCAGAGTCGCTTGATAGGGCTGTCGGAGAGCTGACTCCGAATTTCAGCGCGGAGCGGGGGTAGAGCGTTGTAGAATGCAGATGGGGGATGATGAAGCGGAACGGGGTAAAGTAGCA